TTGTATTAGTCCATTATTGTAAAAGTCAAGGAAAGGTTTATCTATGGAAGGAAATTTTCTTTGTTGGTTACCAGGGGTGGAAGGGGAGGGGAGGGGAACACCGTTAGATAGATAGAGATAAGTATTGATTTGGGTGAAGAGAAGGGCAATGTACCAAATGTGACTGATCAATATGGTGGCATCAAGGAAGAGAAAGACATAGAGAGGTACATGGGAGGTAGAGACAACAAAGATGAACCCTTTTGCACATAAAGTACTGCGTTGTCAGTGATGGCAAACACGGGTATACGGGTGGATAGATGGGTGGACAGATGGTTGGACAGGCTGAACTAATAGGTATGTCTATGAAGTGGGGAGTGTACCCAAGAACATGTATAGGGTTGGCAGACAATGGTCCTATAAGTTTCTGTGTGTGATCTGAATTCCTAGGTGTATAGTAGAGCTAACAAGAGGCAAGGTGGTAGTCACTGCTTGGTCACAGCCAACTATCCAGAGGGACCAAGCAGTTAAACCTGTGAGCTTGGACCATAGTCACAGGGGACATTGAGCTTAATTGGCATAACATACTACACAAAATATTGTTTCACCTCCTACTTTAGCAAGTAGAAACTGGGATCTTAAAAGCTTGCAAGCTGCCATCTAGATGCAACGATGGGTCTCTCCTCGTCCAGAGCAAAGAAGAATGAAGAAAACAAAAAATTTATGGATACCATCAGTCCTAGAGATTGGTACACCATCCAATCTGCAGCCTATACAACTATGAGACCAGAAGAACTAGATGGTGCCCAGCTACCACTGTCATCCACTTGGAAGGGGATCTATGTAGGAGATCCTGGAGAGAGAGGGAGAACAATGTGGAACAAAACTCAAAATCATTTGGAGGAAAAAAAAAAGGGGGGGGGGGGACCAGGTTTGCTGGTCCAATAGAGCCTGGTGGAACCACTATATGAGACTATGGCCCCTAGCTGCCCTTCAGGTCTGGAATTGAACCCACATCTGTGGCTTCTAGCCAAGCAAAAGACAGGCATATGAGCTGAACATTTACCTGAGGCAGATACACTCCTTGGAGAGAACAATCATGGGAGAAAGAAGGGCTGCTTATGCACAAGGAGACAGCTCAGGGGGCAGGAGGGCAAGGAGGGATGGACACAGGGAAGAGGTAATTATCAGGAGGAAGTGGGAAGGGAGCTGTTGCGTTGGGGTAAATTGTGGTCAATGTCATTGGACAAAGTGTATGTGAACTGCTGTATGGAAAGTGAATTTGCTCTGTTAATCTTCACCCAAATCACAATATAAATAAATAAATAAATAAAAGAAATATTATACAGGATGTTCAAGAAATTTATATTAATAGAAAGAACTGTCATCTCTCTGTAATATTTGAGTAAGTTAGGCTTAGAAGTAGGAGGATTACAAGATTACTTCTTAAGGACAAATGGACATGGTAACCATAGGGAAGAAGTGGGAAGAGTGCTGTTACATTTGTAGGAACTGCATTCAATGTCAATGAAACAAAATGTGTATGAACAATTGAACTAGAAAACCAATTTGCACTGTAAACTTTTACTCAAAACACAATAAAAAGTTAATAAATAAATGTGTGTATTAAAAAAAATGAGAAATTAAAAGAATGAATGCTACTTAAAAAATAAAGTATCTTCTGCCTCCATGATTCAGTCTCATCACTTTAAGAAAACCTATTTATTGCCACTGTTGATTCCAACTCATAGCAACACTATAGGAGAGAGTAGAACTACCCCCACAGGGTTTCCTAGGATGTATATCTTTATGGAAACAGACCGCCTCATCATCTTTCTCCTGCAGAGAAGTTGGTGGGTTCAAACCACAGACCTTTTGGTTAGCAGCCAAATGTTTTAACCACTATGCCACTAAAGCTACTACATTAAGAAAATGTTCACTCATTTTCACTCACCAAGCTTAGACAATTCCGTCTTCTTCTTAGACCAAGTATAATACTGCAAAAGCCCTTTATAGGCCTGAATAAGGTTGATTAATATTTCCTGAGAAGATGACTTTTCACCGTATCTCCATGTCTCTGCCTGGCTTAGATTTCTATTTGCATCCTCAAGCATTCCATGATGTAGAAGGTATAGTGCATGTTGTAAGGAGATCTGCAATAATGATAATAAGAAAAAAGCCACCAACACACAGACCATTAGATAACCATTAGTCAGAAAGCTCACAACATCTACTGAATGGTAAATATATGATATATGCTGGCCTAAGACCTTGGTGGTAGAATACAAATGACATACAACATGGTTTCTGTGATCAAAGCTTTTATGTAGCCTGGAAGAGAACATACATGAAAGAATAAAAATGATGTAAATAATAACGAAATTATATAAACTTACAAACAGAAGACAGTGGGATACAGTGTGATTGACAGACATATACATAGAGAAGCGATTTTCAGTTAGAGAACAGGTACGGCAACTGCAAAGCAAGAGGTAAATGAACAACACTACTTGTTTTCAGCTTCTTTTATTTATTCAGGTGTCTTATTTTCCTGTCCATGCTTTTTACATTATTACCTACCTTATTAGTGAAACTAGCAATTTAAAAAACTTAACACTGCACATGTAAATACGCAAAGCCAATTCTTACCTTTAAGTAATTCATGACACCAATATTTTTCATACGGTCAGCAAAGGTACTGAAAGTCTCCACGTTGCTCTTGGGATGATAATACAGAATTTCACTTCCAAGCCTCCAAATAATCTGTCAAAGCAGAAGTCACTACCAAAATGTAAAATCCTTACCTTAGTCAATTTCTAAGGAAGTTATTCTTAAATTTATTTTCCTAGTTATAACATTAAAAAAACTCCTAATTTATTTCCCTAGATATCACTGTTAATATTTTACCATTTTTTTATACATTGAAACTATCCTATCTTACGCAATAAAATTTTTTCAGTTGATTAGATTAGATTAATACTAAAATACAGATGAGTCCCAATTTACAAGGAACTGTACTTACAACTGTGTTTTTTTTTTTAATTTGTACATCTTATCATTAGTATGCACTACATACAATGTTGTAGAACATAGTTTGCTGATGCTATCATTCTCAGATGTTCACTTGCCAATGTTCACTTGCAGATGTTCAACGTTATGAATAACTGTTCAAAACACTACCATATAGCAGGCTATGGCAATAATAATGGGGGAAAAAAAGGTGGTATTCAGTATATGTCAGAACCAACCTAAAACAGAATTGTCAGAAGTGAACTCTATCTTACATTGTGGACTACCTGTACTACATAACTATAATTAATCGGTTGCCATCAAGTCAACCCCAGTTTATAGCAACTCCACATGTGTGTCAGAGTAGAACTGTGCTCCACAGTGTTTCCAATGGCTGATTTGGGGGAAGTATATCACCAGGTCTTTCTTCTGCGGTACCTCTCAGTGGACTCAAACCTCCAGTCTTTTGGTTAGCAGCCACGGAGCACCAGATAACTATAATAGTATGGTTGTTTAATTAGTGGTTTAATGAAGGTAGGTAGATAAGGTATATATTGAAGACAAAAAATTTCATTAGGAAGAGGAATATTAAAAAGAGAAAACCTATAGTCTAGTAATAATAGCTCTTCACTGTTCTTGGCCTCATCTTTATTATTATCTACAAAAGGAGGACAATGGACTAGATGTTTTCTTAAACCCTTTAAAGTTTTACAACTCTTGTTAATAAATTGTATCTATATTTAGAACTCTAATTGCAGAATTTTTATCAACAATGGACAAATTTTAATAAAAATAAATTTTCTTCCCTGATCATCAGACACATTAAATGGGTAAGATGTGAAGCTCTTCCTTTTCATGGGAGTGAATCAGTTATTCTCTTATCAGTTTTAAGTATTTCAATATAAACTTTACAGTAGATTTAAAAACTAAATTATTAGATGGCAGAATAGGCAGAAAGACTGCACAGACCCTCTTCAACAAAGAAAAGGGGAACCAATTAACACAGACACAGAAGATAATAAGGGACCCCAGATTCTTGAAGGGAAGGCTATAGAAGCAGACTAAACTCCAACTGAGAGCTCTGGTACCATAGTGCCTATGGCACCTGACTGCTAACCAGAAGGCTGGCAGTTCAAACCCACCAGCCACTCCTCGGAAGGAGGATGGGGCAATCTACTTTTGTAGTGACACTGCCTCAGAAGTCCAGGGAGGGGTCGCTGTGAGTCAGGTCCAACTTGACGGCACATAACAACAACAACAACAACAACAAACTCCAACTAGCAGAAAAATTTGCATGAAAACACCAAAAAAGGAGACATGTAGAGCTGCAGTCTGGCAACAATCCTAACAGCACAGACAGCGGAGATATTGCTGAGTGGTGGTAGGATGTAAGAATTAACCTGAAAATCAAGCCTGCTAGCCAGGGACTGCACGGGGGACTGCTCTGGTGGCTGGGGAATAAAAGAGGAAGCAGTGAAGAGTAAGGCGGGCTGAACTGTGGACTTTTGTCTGTCCGGAGGACATGGCCATTTTGAATGTTTACAAGTGACTTGACCATTTTGGATTTTTAATGTGACAGCATTCTCCCAGATTCCAGGGACTTAACAACAGGCTCTATTGCCAGGAACCCCAAGGGTATTCTGGACCCAGACAATTGGAAAGGTGTGACATGCCCATTGTTACTCTTATATCCCACACCCTCTTGGTGAACTGAGGTGCGGCCATACCTCACTCCCATCTACCTTCTGGGCTAGCAGGAATTGCATCCCAGTCAGTGTGCTCAGAAGGAGCCTGGGTGCCCCATACCGCCTTGCCCTGATTTTTTTTTTTCCTATTTTTTGTTTTTTAGTTTGTATGTTTTTGTCTGTTTTTAAACTACTTATTATTACTTTAGTCCTTTTTATCATTATTCTTTATTCTTCCCCTTCCAGGTTCTAGTTTTCAGTTTTCTTTTCCCTGTTCCTGGTTGCATTTTTTTTTTTTTCTTTCTCCTGGATAACCCCATTCCTTGTTTTTATTTTTGCATTTTCCCCATTTATTCTTCAATATTCTCCTTCTTTACCTTTTTTCTCATATTGTCCTCATCCCAGATATTGCAGGGTTATTATTATTTTTCTTCTTCTTTTTCTTCTTCTTTTTCTTGTTTTTCACTTTTAGTTATCATTCCTGCGTGATTATATGGTGTGGTTTTTGTCCATTTGCTTTTACTTTTTTGATGGTTATTCAATTGTTATTTTTGTCTGAGTGGAAGACAGCAACAGTGCCCATACAACACAACTCCACCCACACCTCCTGCAGCATCACTTATGGAGTGAGAGACACCACGTCCTTCTCCACCAATGGGTCAACGATAAACCACCACCAAGAAGAGCCTGACTCACTCTTGGCTGCTCTTCACAAATAGTTAAAAGAGATCTAAATGCAACAACAACACGATGTCTCAGAGAAAACAGACCATCACAGTCCACACAGAGAAGCAAGATAAAGGGGTAGAAACAAGTGAGCAGGACAGAGACCCAGAACACATCCCTGAGGAAGAAGCAGCATTGGAACTCTCTGATAAGGAATTCAAAAGAATTATATTTAGGTATCTTCAAAGGATTGAGAGACAGACCAAGGAAAGCACAGAAAAAAACCTAGAATAATTTCAGAAGAAAATACAAGAACAAAATGACAAAATAAATGAAAAATTAGAAATGATTCTAAATCTACAGATAGAAATCCAGAAGATTAATACTAAGTTGCCAGAAACAGGTAACACATTGAAAGGGCAAAGGAGTAGAGCTGACGCAATGGAAGATAGAATTAATGAGATTGAAGACAAATACCCAAATCTTTGGAAAGGGAACGATCAGAAAAAAGACCAAAACAAAATGAAGAAAGCCTAAGGTTCATGTGGGATACCATCAAAAGGAATGACCTAGGTGTCACTGGAATTGCAGAACAAGAAGAGAAAAAGAAAAACACTGAGAAAATTGTCCAAGATCTGTTGGAGGAGAACATCCCTCATATAATGAAAGATGAGAATATATCCATTCAGGAAGTTCAACGAACCCAAACAGGATAGACCCCAAAAGAAAATCACCAAGACATATCATCATCAAACAGACAAAGAAATAATCCTGAAAGCAGTATGGGAAAAACAAAAAGTTACTTACAAAGGAAAACCAGTAAGAATAAGTTCTGATTTCTCAGCAGAAACCATGCAAGTGAGAAGGCAATGGGATGTTGTTGTTGCTGTTAGGTGCCATCGACTCGCTTCCGACTTATAGCAACCCCATGCACAGCAGAACAAAACACCACCCGATTCTGCAATGGCTCCATGATCCTTGCTATACTTGAGCCCATTGTTGCAGCCACCATCTCAATCCATCTTATCAAAGGCCTTCCCCTCTTTCGTCGACCCTCCACCTTTACCAAGCATGACATCCTTTTCCAGGGAATGCTCCGCTCTGACAACATGACCAAAGTAGGTGAGACGAAGTCTGGCCATCCTCTCTTCCAAGGAGCATCTCAGCTGCACTTCTTCCAGGACAGATGTTAGGTCTTTTGGCAGTGCATGGTACCTTCAGCATTCTTCGCCAGCACTACAACTCAAAAGCATCAACTCTTCTTCAGTCTTCCTTATTCACTATCCAGCTCTCACATGCATATGAGGCGATTGGAAATATCATGGCCTGTGTCAAGTGTACCTTAGTCCTCAAGGAGACATCCTTGCTCCTCAGTACTTGAAAGAGTTCCTTCACAGCTGACCTGCCCAGTGCTACACGTTGTCTAATGCCCTCACTGCTGCTTCCATTGGCCTCGATTGTAGAACCAAGCAACGTGAACTCTTTGACAACCTCAATCTTTTCTCCATTTATCATGATGCTGCTCATTGGTCCAGTTGTGAGGATTTTTGTCTTCTTTATATTGAGATGTAATCCATACTGCAGACTATGTTCCTGAATCTTCATCAGTATGTGCCTCAAGTCATCCTCACTTTCAGCAAGCAAAATTGTATCATCAGCG